GCACGGCACCGCAGGCCACGCCCCGCCACAAACTGTTTAAATCGTATTTCTCAGTCTGCGTCTGAGTCCATTCCACCGCTGTACTTTAGAACTAGAGATACAAAAGACGAAACTAAAAAGCACAAGAAAACTAAACCATACCCAATAAAGACTAAGAAACATGGAACAACAATAAACATAAAGGTCCAAAAGTCCAAAAACCGAAACACTGGGTTCAACCACCCAGGAACCCTAACATCTGTTCTCTGTGAACTGAAAACACCTGTATTAAAGGACATGACATGATGACAGGATGTCTATAGTTATTGCTCCCATGTTGACTGTTAAACCTTAAAATAAGTTATGATTTCTTTGATAGGGGTGAAGATATTTTACAAATTTAAATAACACTGTTGACAGATAGTGTAAAATGTGATAGTTAAAATGTGTTGTTTCCTAGCTCGTGCTGACTAGTTGCTTCCCAGTGTTGTGGATCAGTGTCCCCCAAGCCTGCGAGGTCATAAAGGGAGAGGGTGTCATGGGTACTCTGCAAAGGGATTTGCCAATGTTGAGAGGAATTAGAAAACTGACCACACTGAAACAAGTATTGAGTCAAATAAAATATTTAAAAGCTAAGATTGTCTTTATACAGATTTATCCACATTAGCAGAGCATTATCATTCCCAATGCGCAACATACCAACAATTCGTCACATTCATCAGTATGTTACGTGTTGGAATGAGAATGTGTTAACATCAGATATAAAACTGATAAAACAGATAGAAAACTAGAAGATGGCCAGGTCAGGTATTTCACACTTCCTTCAACAGTCCAACAGTCATGCTAGATATATATATAGTATAGGCCATCCCTATACACAAACCAATACCATTTCAAGTCTAAAGCTCATTAAAGATCCATAGGGGGAGGTACATCACTGTTTAAGATAATATATAATACATTTCGTAAATGTATATGGCCCCAACGACTCTATGAACAAATTTTCTTTACTTTTGTCACAATCTGAAAGCAGGGACTCAAGCGCAGAACAGGTTGACGTCT